GATTCTTCCTTGCTTTTATTGTCGCATTGTGGGGTCTGAGGTGGCACAGATCGTCCGGCCATGGTTGTCAATGCGACTTTGTATGATGGCTGCCTGGAGAAGGCGTGCTTGGAGCTGGGCCTCACAACTGTGAGTCAGACTGACAAACAACCAGCCTTTCAAACTGCTCTGAATTTGACAAAGAACCAGTTGCTGGAGATGTGGAAGGCCCGGGAGGGCCCCATGCGTGATCGCATGCCAAAGTACAAAGCGCAAATGGATGAGGACGCTACGCCTGCTCCTCCAGATCAGCCTGAGCTGAAGCTGTGCACTATTGTGGAGGATTGCCTGGTGTTGCCTCGAGATGTACGAAGCGAGTTCTTGTCTGACGCTGTTCGTGCTCCAGAATGGAGGAAGCTTTTGCAGGAGTTTGACCGCACCTTTGCCACCCCTGCTGCAGAGACAGGTGCCGCTGCCGTTCAACCTGCTCCTCAAGCTGATTCAACGCCTGCCTTGGATTGGCCAGCCCTGTTTGCAGATGAGCCGCGCGAAGCAGCTGACTTTCACGCAAAGTATGAGCGGTTCATCGTTGGCAAATGCGCTTGGTGTCCAGAAGTCCAGGCCTACCTTGTGGACACTTCGGATGCAAACACTGAGGAGAAGGACAAAAAACTCATGCTTTTCTTGGAGGGAAAGAACGACTATGTGATCCCATCCTCGGAAGCTTTCCTCACCTATGGTGCTGGAACATGGCTGATGGACGGTAAGGCTCAGCAATGGCTCGCTGACCAAGAGGATGGTCCTCACAAGGCTTGCTTGTGTGAGTTCAAGTCGGATGAAGACCGGGTCTTGCTGGAGGAGTGATTTCAATGTTGTGTCTATCATCACCAAAAAATACTAGTCAAAAGTCGTTTTCATAGAAAAACACATGTTTTGCTGTGAGCTGTTACTGTTGTGGGGAGGAGAACCAAACTGATGGCCCAGTGAAGCCTTTACGAGAAGTGATCCAGCAGCTGGAGACCTCTGGGATGGTCGACTTTGTGTTGGGTGGGCATGAATTCTCCCGTGATGCTGCTGTCATGCAAGGCAGATCTCCTGACAAGTCCACGCCTCAAATTGTTTTCTGTTTTGCTCCCATGGTGATCGTCCCAATTTTTGTTTGAAGCCATCATTTTGCTTGAAGCTAGGTTGGTCGTGAAGAAGAAGGATGACGGCACCATGTTGTGGAGACCAAACACGCTTCAAATGTCGAGCCTTCGTGCCACCAACATCGCAAGCTTCTTTCCGTCCAAGGTGCTAGACGGGGTGCGGCACTTGTTGCTTGTAGCTTGGCCCGGCTTCCGCAAGGTGGTTGTACCCTCATTGCATACGTTTGTGCCCATCTCAACGCCAGATCTACCTGGGACAGGTTTTCCATCACCCTCATGCTGCATACTTTGAACAAGCATGCCACACCTGACCTTCAAATGTCTTCCCAGACCTGTGTTCACCACCAAATTATTGACCACTTTCTTTTCCAATTACCATCATGAAGATTTGTTTGCTTCTGCGACTTGTCTTCCCAGACTTGGTCTTCCCAGACCATGTGATTGTTTGCTGTTTTCCGTTTCCCATATGCCCCGCAAATCCCGGTCCTGAGGTATGGCGCCTGAGGGCTTATCGTCCTGAAAAGACCTTGGGGGCGGCAAAGCCGTTGTGGTTTTTGAGCCACGAGCTCAATCTGACCAAGGGCAAGGTCCAAAGGATCATCTGAATTTTTGCCAACTAACATTTAATTTTGTGAGTGAGGATTGAAGCATCCTCTGGAAAGGAAGCTGGGAAGCTGGTACGTGGTGTTCACTGCTGGACGGAATGTTGCGTAGCAGAAACTTTAAACACTGCACATTGAATCTTCTATTTTACCGGAACTCGAGCTTCAGTTTGTCTGCAGTGACTGGTCACCAGCGTTTACGGATTGTCAATGTCGCTGAGCGCGGCACGGTGATGCGGGATGACTTCACTAAAACCTGCAACAGCTGAGCAAAAGATGCAGCCGTCTCCTCTTCTATTGAAAATCTCACAGCTTGTCACACCTTAGACTTAGACTTGGACTTGGACACATCGTAAACAAACATAAACAAGTCAAGCCTTGGACCCATTATTGGAAAACATCAGGTCAGGTCCTGTCAGCCCTCTCCCAACATGTCCTGATGTGAATCGTGGCCCAAGACATTCACACGCTTCCTGAAGGCTCCCTACCCCTATAGTTGTGCTGCTTTTGATGCGATGGAAGATTCACAGGGCATCTATGTTGTAGAAGATGAGCCCGAGGTTGAATTCCAGGAGTCTGAGACAGCCACCGGCTTTCATTCCATCAGTTTCCAGCCGCCGCCCACACAAACACCGACTTTGTTTGCCTTGCCGAAAAATACTTGGGCTCAGCCAGTTGACCACTGCAAGGCCCTAATATTATTGTGTTTCCATATTTCAAGCAGGCTTCAAAGGTACTATTGGTCTGATCTAAACCATTGTTTGGATATGTTTGGATTCTTTTGGGCGCTCGCCCTGGCTAGGCGGCTGACGGCATGGAGGATTCACAAGAGACATTGAATCTGGGTTACCAACATGAAGATGAGGGTGGCCAGAGCTTGGATGGAAAAACCGGGGATGAGCCTGATAAGGCCTCTGGTGTGCCTGAGCCTGAGAAGGCCAGGGATGTGCCTGAGCCTGGGAAGGCCAGGGATGTGCCTGAGCCTGGGAAGGCCAGCGATGTGCCTGAGCCTGGGAAGGGCAGGGATGTGCCTATTTTTCCTGACCCAGTTCTTGATGGCAGTGATCAGGGTGGATCTGGCGCTGGTGGTGATGGTGATTCAAAGAACAACACCGACAAGAAGAGAAAGAAGCCTTCTGACATGTCACCAGCAAGCCAGGAGAAGGAGAAACAGCGTCGTGCTCAACTCCACCGTGATAACAGCAAGGCATGGCACATGAAGTGGGTTTCCAAGGGTGTGCCTCGCGAACCCCGACCTCCTAGCGCACCTGGGGGAGAGCCTGAGGGCCCAGCTGAAGCAGCTGGGAGAGCTGAAGCAGGGAGTCGAGTGCTGCATCCATGTCCTATGAGCCAACCATCGACCCTGACCTGATGACACAGGTGGGTGGGTTTTCTTAAACCGAAAACTTGCGGCGCGTGAATACAAACTTTGAAACTTTAAACTTTGGAACTTTAGAACACAAACTTTGAAATTTTAGAGTAAACGCACTTGCCCTTCCAGGCGATTGGTGGTGACATGCGGAGTGCGCGCAATTCGTTCATCAAGCAATGGATGGAGCACATGGTTGCGCAGCCTGATGCCCAGCCAGTATCCCGTGATCAGGCCAACAAAGCATGGATGGACAGTGAACTTCGTGCTCAGATTTTGGCAACTCGCCGTGGTGAACAGTACTGAGTTGTGGAACCTGACATTGGTTTCAGTTTTGGAGCTATGAGGGCTCTGTGGCACTTTGGCTACGCGTGGTGAAAACTTATGTGTCCGGTGCCTTGCGCAAGGATGAAACACACACCAACAAGAGACGTCCCCCTGTGCATCCTCCCATGTCCCAGTGGTACTTGATCCCCTGTGCATCCTCCCATGCGCCAGGCCTCCACCTATGCTGCTGAGCGTGGCTTGTTGATGCGCCTCATCAAGATCTGACTGCGGCTGGGAAGCCTGTGGCTGGGAAGCCTTTTGGCTGGGAAGCCAAATAATCACAAGAGGTTTTGGACAAATAAGCATGTTTCATGTCCAACCATCATCACCCTACTCCACAACAAGTTTTAAATACTGCACACTTTTTCTCGTTTAGCACACCATTCTCATCTCGTTTGCTGGAACTCTCAGATCCCCACTGTCACTGTGTCTTCATCTTCAGCCCCACCATGTCTTGCCCACCATGTCTGAAAAAAGGCTTCCCAGCCGCCCGCAGGCTTCCCAGCCTTGGCTTCCCAGCCTTGGCTTCCCAGCCTTGGCTTCCCAGCCTTGGCTTCCCAGCCTCATATCCTAAATCCCTTGCACTTTGAAAAAGTATTGCAAAAGGCATTAGCTTTAAAAAACAAAATGCATTATATATATATATATAGATTGCAAGAGTGCTTCACAAACATCTAGAAAGGATGAATATCCATCCAAAAAGGTTGAATGTCACATTAATGAGACTTCAAATCCGTGGATTGCTGCACGTTTCTCCAGGTTATCTAGCGGTTGACGGAAAGGGAAATTGAAGTGCTATACCTGGCAACTGAATTGTAGCGGTTGACGGAAAGGGAAAATGACGTGCTAAACCTGGCAACTGAATTGTAGCTACCCTGGGTACGTATAAATGCTATTTTGCATTATTTTGGTATACCTCTTACACACCTATATAAGTTCAAAGCACGAATGAGACTTCGAAGTTGTGGATTACTGCACGTTTCTCAAGGTTGTCGAGCGGTTGACGGAAAGGGAACTTGAAGTGCTATACCTGGTATATAACTGAATTGTAGCTACCCGGTACGTGGATTGCTGCACGTTTGTCACGCTAGCGATTGACGGAAAAGTGCTATACCTGGCAACTGTAGCTGCCCTGGGTCCGCGCGAGCGCGCGCGCCTAAACCTAGGGCAGACTGGGAGCCAGCAAGGCGCGCGCGCGCGGACCCAGGGTACCTACCGCTGCACTTTTACTATCTCTCTTCACAACGTGCTCGTGGACAAAAAACGCCGGGTTTCGGTTTGCAGCGTCTCAGGTTTGCAATTCTTTGTTGTATAGACTTGTGCACTATACTGTACTATGTTGTTATATTATGGAACCACATGAATAGTGCGAGTGCTTCTTCAAGGAAGCTCCCCCCACGTGTGAGCTATCCTGCGTCCAGTATGTTAGTAGAGCCGCGCTCTATTACCTCTTCCTTTAACGGCAGCCTACTCCCCCCTGCCCCGGGCTTAAACACAAAGCGCAAATTTGTGCATTGTGGTTGTCCGGAGAGCTTGGGCTTGGACTGTTTATTGTCGACTGGAAGATCCTGGAAGGACAAGCGCGGCTTCAGCACACACCACTTGGGATTAGTGTACACTCTTTTCAGTGCGAGCAACTACTGCGGCACTGCTGGGAACAAGGCGAGGTGTGATTGCATAAACGGGAGCAGCGAACTTTCCTATCACATGCCATTGGAAAGTTGCTTTGCTATCACTTTCTGTGGCATTTTTTGCGGGATCGGAGCTTATCGGGTAAATTCATACCTTGCGCCTTGCGCCTTTCGAGGATTGAACTTGTCAAAAGCAAGACCAGCTGGTTTTGCCTGACATTCCCTGTGGCCCTATACTACCTTAGGTTGGTGTATATGTACATACATATATAATGTGATGTCCATCGGTGTGAGCCCGGACATGCGTTCTATTTTCTCATTTTTGCTCAGGGTGGTGTGTGCTTACTGGAGCTCCGGTACAACTCGGCATCTGGAGAAGGAACCAGTCTTGTTGCACGCTTCGAGGACCCAGAATCTGGAAAGGGAACACCATGCCAGGAGATCAAAATGTAGTTCCAAGCCTCCGTTTTTCCATAAACGTTTTCGGGTTGCTGATTCTTCAAGTTGCTCAAGACAAAATGCCATGGCGACCTACACTTGCATTTCCCGCACTTGTTCTCTCTAGATTCTAGCGTTTTGTGAAAAGACCTAGGGCAAGCAAACATCAAAAACAGCCGCAACAAATAATCCTAATCCCTTGCTTAGTGTAAGGTATTCGGAAGGTTGGTTCTGAGATGGCAGTGATGACCACTTTCCAGTTATTGAGTTTTTGCCCGCATTTGATCAAGTTAAGTCATCACCCTAAGAAGTTCATACCACTTTAAAACACCTCCTTCAAGGGTTTAACGCAATGTGTAAGTCAGCCCAGGAGCACTATGCGCCTGCTTTGGAAGAAGGGACGTTGGGACCTCGGCAAGGGAAGGATCTCTGTCAGGTTCACAACAGGGACCACAGCGTGAGGTTGTTGCATGTGGGAACCCAGCCTTGCCACAAGCCTGTGTCAAGCCTGGAAAGCCAGGTGCATCACCTCAGCAAGCCTGTCACCCTATTGTATCAGGAGGATAGCAACTACTGTATTTATACAAGGGGTTGCCAGCTATCCATCAACTAACGCAGGAGGTTGGGTTTTGCAAGCGCATGCCCAGGAATTGATTGAGTCAACTTTTCCAACCAAAGCCATGTGGATGTTTGTTGCTTCATGTGTTTGCAGTCCTGTTGTCAGACTAAAAGCAAACATATGTTCAAAACATGGGAGACTTTGGCTGGATTTGCTTTGGTGCTTGCCCCAGGAGCATGCCCATACACAAAACGTTAAATTCGAAACACTTCGCTCACCATGTGGTTGCTATCAATCACGCTGCTTGCAGCAAAAAGAAAATTGAAAAATGCCAGATAGATCAAATCGCAACGCTACTCCAACACTAGCAGCTGAACTCGTCCAGATATACGTTTTCCACCTCAACTCGTCCAGTCTGCTGAACCTGAGGCTATTGCACATTTCCAGGTTGCCAGATATTGCTGCTCGTCGCACTGTGCCACACTTAACTTTTGGCACTGCCGTGAAAGGAACATATGGCCTGGCCCTAAAAGATGTGCGGCTGTGCTCCAGGCGCTTGAAGAAGCTGGAGTCGCACGGGCAACAGAGGACTCGATTCATACCATGTTGTAGGCACAAGCAAGTGATGCTGGTAGTGCCCCAGGGAGATCACAATTATGATAACACGGAATTCCGTCAGCTTTGGACTCCAGACCCAATCAGAACCATGAAAAGCAGAAATCAATAACAGGGAGGGACCAGGGAGGGAGAAGCAACGACAAGTTCGCATGCTGGGTTTTGACACCCCGCCGTTTTAAAACTCGATGCCTCCAAACTGGCTTTATAAAGGTTTGCGGACTTGAACTACTTGCACCCGCATCAATTAAGCTTGAAAACCAGCGGTAGGCCACAACAGGCAGAAACAGTTTTAACCCATTCTTGAACCGAGAAGACCCAGCTAGTCAGCTGCTGGGCAGCTAGTCATGCCCCAGCCCGCGGTCCCAGGGTTAGGCAAAAAGCAAAAATGAGTTGCATGGGGATGTACTCATCCAGCTGGGGGTGTAAGTTTGAACATCCTCACGAATTGGGATTCTCAATCCCTGCCTGCCCAGCCAGACGACCCAGTTCTTACAGATTTGGCTACGGATCACGCATGGATTTGACAGGGCTCGGGCAATTTCGGGCAAGTGTTTCTTTCTTTTCTGTGTGATGCTCAATATCGTTATTGGTTTGCGTTAGGTTCTAGATTATATTTACCAGGCTACCGCCTGCAGCCGCCGACCCCCGAGGGAAAATGTAGCGGAAAGGATGGTACGTGGAAGTAGCTGGCGCAGGTGTAGGGTTGCGCGAAGGAGTGGCACGAGTCCCGGGCTGGTCGCGGCCGGGTGCCTGCCAGTGCCCTTGGTGTTTCCTAGAAGTAGTCACGTTTTCCGAGGGATGTGTAGGATTTTCAAAGGCTTTTGTAGCATTTCCTTCGGAATGCTCTGAGTCTTTCCTAGATTTTGTAAAGGCCCCGTGTTGGTTTTTTGGGTTCCCAGATTTGCCCAAAAACGGCTATATAACCCATTTTACCAGGGTGAGGCAGTTTTTCGAAGCAAGCGTGCAAACGTGCGGCAGCGCTTGCGAAGCTCGGCCAGCTGTGTGCCACGGTCGTGCGCAAGCAAGGGAGGAGACCGTAGCCGTTTGGGCGGGGGGGCATGTGCGCGTGGTGGAATGTATTCGGTGGAGCAGGCCGGTCGGGGGGATGGGAGGGTGGCCAGTTCCACGGTGGTAAGAAGGGCGTTGCCCATGAAAGAGGAAGGGAGCCGGACATGCACGGTGACATGGGCAGTGTGCCGCAGATATGGTGAGTTTCCATTGAGAGCATGGAAAAGAGAACTGTGCGGTGTGTTTGTTGTAGGCTAGGAGACGAGGCATGCGCGGAGCGTTTCGACAGGATAGAGCAAGTTGGGGGCTGCCTGTGTTTGATGAGGCGTGGAAGGGATATGTAGTGTTGTGTGACGTGTGCAAATCCAGCGGAAAACATGACAAACTCTAGAAAACACCAAGGGCATACCTAAGTAAATGCTGGAAAGCCTTTGAAAATCCTACAAATCCAACGGAAAACGTGACCAAATCTAGGAAAAACCAAGGGCACTGGCAGGGACCAGGCCGCGACCAGCCCGGCACTCGAGACCGGTACCATTTATGGACCATGCTTATTTACCAGGCATCCTGTCAAAATTTTTGCAAAGCGCATGAAAGGAACGAGGACAACAACGGAAGAAAATGGGTTAGCAATTTTCTTTGCAAATCTGGGAACCCAAAAAGCAACACAGAGCCTTTACAAAGACCTAAAGTAACCAGACATCCTGTCAAAACCTTTGCAAAGCGCATGAAAGGCATCAGTACAACAATGGAATAAAATGGGTTAGCAATTTTCTGGGGAAATCTGGATGCTGAAAAATCCTTTGAAAATCCTACAAAACCAGCGGAAAACGTAACAAAATCTAGAAAAACCAAGGGCATTCCTAAGTAAATGCTGGAAAAGCCTTTGAAAATCCTACAAATGCAACGGAAAACGTGACAAAATCTAGGAAAAATCAAGGGTATTGGCAGGGATCACGCCGCGACCAGCCCGGGATTCGAGCCCGGGACCATCTATGGACCGTGCTTATTTTCCCGCGCGGGTGGAGAGGGTGCCCCAAGATGTAATCAATTGGGATGGAGAAATCTTGGACAACTCTTGGAGAAATCTTGGCAGATTTCGGCAGATTTCGTCACTGCAACAAGGGTCCGGAGGGGTAGGGGAGGTAAGGCTAAGGCTAAGGCTAAGGACTAAGGATAAGGCTAAGGATAAGGCTAAGGATAAGGCTAAGGATAAGGCTAAGGCTAAAACTATCAATCAACAGTCACGCCTCACCCCACGAGTGGGGTCGGCGGATATATAACCATCACATCATGTCATGCTTTGTTGTGTTGCTGTGATTGTCATGAAACAGCTTTCGGCGATGCAGTGATGCTTATTGCCCACGCCGCTTGACCATTGATTGCAATTCAATGACTCACCCCAGACCAATAAAGAACCTCTAGGACATCCAGAAAGTTGGACAGCGTCAGGCATGCTGAGGGTTCAGTCGAGTTGAACCGAATTGCAAGTGGGCAGGTTAAAAATAAGATAAGGACTAAGCTGTTGCAGCTCAACACAACACTCCCAGACTCGATTGTTGAGGGGGCGGACGAGCATGTCGGGCAATGCTGGTCATTTTCCCTACATGAAGGTCTGGTTAGTGCCAACAATTTGCAAGCTGGTAGCCAGGAACGTGCCATTCTACATCGAATGGCAGGCAAGGTTGTTGAGCTTCGGTCTGAGCTTTGGGCTCCGCGCTTACGACTGATATGGATGAAGGAAGCAAGACGAAAGATTGCAACGTTTGGCCTGGCAATGGGTTGAGACTGAGGATGACTTTAGAAGAAACGATGAGAAGAGGACGGGCAAGGCAGAACTTTGAGTGAGCCCTTAGTATACTGCTGTCAACTAGCCTCCCGCATCAATCAATTAAATCAACTGCATCAGGTGAGCTTTCTGAACTGGTGTGACATCATGACCTCTGTTTGTGGAGAGATGCTCGGTCCAACGATTGACTGGGAACCAGGGACGGCCACGCGCTGGAGCTGCCAGTGCTAATGACCACGGGAAGACACACAGAAGAAGTGAAATGATACAACTGAGATCAATTGTGAGTGCTTGAAGCCAAGTGCTTGGCATTAGCGATGGTTGTGGCAGCCTGTTCCGCGACAGGCTGTCGGTGATTATTCAAGCATGTACAGACGGTCAGTGATCATTGTACATGCTGCCGTGGGTGCAGGTTGGGGATGTTTCAAACTTGCATGGCCAGTCTGATCCAATATGCATCTATATAACTTGTTTTGCCCTGCTGGATGATGCACGACCACTAAGTTGGCAAGATAAGCGAGGGACAATTGGGATGCTGATTGACTTTTGTGGCTTTCCGTCAATTCTGTCTACCCGCTTGGTGTGTGTGTCCACCCCTGGACAAAGGGTTTTCCACCGCCACTTCTTTCACAGATTTTCCACCACCTTTCACATGCAGGGGGAATTGGCAGTCGGTCGGGTGAAAGACATTCGTCAGGCTCGACACACCTACCTGACGCAACGAAGCTATGGTGTGTCGGGGGAAGCAGTCAGAGACGTCTGACTGTGTACCTGCACAACTTTTGAACAAGCTGTCACCCTACTTTTCCACTTTTTGATTCATGGTTCTTCATGCCTCCACCCCATAAACAGGTTTCAGCCGCTTGCAAACTGCAGCCAGCCGCGCGAGTGCAACATTTTTTCAACAATTCAAGTCACTGGACCTTTTCGCCTTGCTGTTCCATCGCCATCCTTCCCATCGTGGTAATTGAGTCACTGAATACAAGTGTCAGAGTGTGTTTCGCTCAGCCGTCCCACTCGGGTGCTGAGTGTGATCCCCGTCACAGGGGCGCCGCTTTTTTGCATCGGAATTCAACAACCCCAACGTACCACTTCCACTGGACCTTCACCGGAAGTCACGGCCACCCCCATAGAATCAACTGATGCATTGGCCGCCGGGCCTAAACACGGCAGCTTTCTCTTCCACCGGCTTTCTGATCAATCTTGCACGTCGTTTTCTGCATGATCTCACATGTTGCACGTTTGGATTTGTGCCGTGACCTTTTCGTCAGCAGAACTCAAGCTTGTACACTGGAGTTCTCAACTCTAATTCGAGATGCCGCCTCCACTAGCCATCGGCGAACCACCACCAACTCAACCCTCACTCCCACAACCGGCACCATCGGGCCCCACAGCAGCCACTGGCTCCCAACCATCCCCATCACCATCCATTGCATCAGCCGCACCAGCCACTGCACCTTCACTGCCTGCAACGGACAAGCCCGACAGCACCGCTTCACCAGCACCGCCACCACCTTCCCCACACCCACATCACAGCAATCGCCAGCCGACGCAAGTCTGATCACCACCACCGTGGCCGTCACCACCACCGCCGCAGGCATCGACATCACCGCCACTCAAAGCATCACAGCACCACCCGGCGACGCCGTTCGCCCTCAACCTCCACTTACTCTTACAGCCCCACACCTTCCCGCAGCCGCTCCCCACAACCCATTGATTTGCGCCCCAACACAGACAACACCAACACCGACCCCTCTCAATACCCCACCACAGCAGTCCTTCGTCGCCCACTCAACCGCTGGCGACCTCCACCCAACTTCCAAGCTCTTTCACCTGCAGACCAACTTCTTGAATTGTTCGAATTTCACGCCAACCAACTCGACGCCCCCAACCGACCACAGCACCAGTACATCGCCAATCTCCTTACCGACTGCAACATCACCTACAAGGAGATCACCGATTTCCGACAACACACCCACACCAAGTGGAACGAAACCACTCACCAATACGACCAATTCCAATACAACGCCATCTCACTTCCCTACCTCAACACCAAAGCCACCACACCCGAACCACCCGCGGTTTCCCGAGCCACCTCAACCCACCGGGAAGTCGCCCACATCAATGCCGGCCATACAGGCCCAGTCGGCAACATTGCCAACATTTTACGCCAAGGTCGGTTTCTACCCAGCACACTCCACTTTGCCAACTACCCTGGCTTTTTTGCTCAGGGCGTCCGCATCACCCACAATCTACCCCACGACCAAAGCGAGTTCGCTCGCATCATCCACAACACTTGGCAGCTCCACAAAAACACCCACTCAATCATCATCACACTCCTCGCCTGGGGTGCAGCCACCAAATACACTTCCGGTGGCGAAGAACAAGCCATGACCCTCCTCAACGAGCACCACGGCGCTGTCTTCCACCAGAAGGGCCGCTGCTGGGTGATTCACCCGGACCACGCCATAGTCAAAGGACTGGCCTGGTCCACCAACTCCACTCCACCCGACATGTAACACCACATTCCATCACCTCCAAGCCACCACCACCTCCACCTCCACCTTTTGTTTCACCCCACCACACAAACCTTCGCCTACAGCAGCCAAAAGAACCTTTGCAGCAGTCCCGCGGCCCTTTCGTGTTTTCAAGTTTTCAAGCTGTGGCGGTTTTGCTTTGCAGAATACCGATCCGAACCTTTTACGGGTTTTTTCTCATGATGTTTTCAACCTTTGAAGGTGTTTTTGCCATTGATCTTTCAGTCGGACTTGCACCTTTTCTGACTATGATCGCGGGAATTTGGTGCTCGATTAATTCATACGCATGGCCTCGTGATGACGTGCTGATGCTGACCAGCTGCTGCCCAACTACTTCGCCGCGCTGCAGCAGCAACCTGTGACGAACCCTTGTGACTGCACATCCCTCTCCGCCCACATCATGAGCAGTACAGTCCCACCTCCACACCAAGACACACAAACTCTTTTACACCAAACCACTGTGACACTCTCGCAGGTCCAAAACCTGCTACGACAAGCAACTGACATCATAGCACACCTCCACACCCACTTTCTCCACCACATCCACCAAGCGGATCCCACTTTCCGCCAACATTTTCAACCACTACCACCTGCACCAACTCACCCAATACGTCTACCGTCCACCACCTCCTCCTGCGATTCAGCACCCTCCAGACCACCCATCCGCTTGCCACCGCCACCCTCAAAAGACTCCGAAGACACACCTTCACCTACCCCAACCCCACAACCTGCTACAACCCGTAAGCGAAAGCAGCCACCACCACCACGACCACCCAACCAGCAGGCAGACTGGGACGCATGGGATGGCGACGCTGATTGTCGCCTTGTTGAACTCAGAGGTAATCCTCGACTCCGTCCCAATTGGGTGTTTGTTGCTCGCCGAGTTGGCTTCTCCATCGAGCAGTGCCAAGCCCGCTGGCAAGAACTCAAAGACCTGCAACATCTACAAGATCAACAACTCTCCTCCAAACCACCACAAGCAGATCCACAACAACATGAACCTTCCCCCTCACCCACTCCCACCTCACCAGCAGCTTCACCACCACCACCCTCACAACCGGACTTCTCTCCTTCTCCCAAGACAACACCACCGACATCACCAGCCAGACCCTACAGCTGATGTGCCGCCGCTGCCGGCTGCTGAGCGAGCGCCCAGTGAGAACAGTCATCCGGAGAAATCTCCAAGCACCCCTGTTGGCAGCTATTTCATGTGATGGTTTCACCCCCCGCTTTCTCTCCGGCGTGCCACAGGATAAATCCACTGACTTGCAGCGACAAGTTGATTCACCATCCTTTTGTATTCACCATCCTTTTGCAACTTGGAACTTTCAGTTTTTCACGTTTCCAAGGCTCACTGCTCCGCAGCTTTTTGCGCGCCACTTTGTCCTGTACTCTGTACCTGCCTCCATGGCCAATCCTCGCGCTCGCCCACCTGTCAGCACAGCAAACACAGAATACTTCCTGCCACAGCGCCCCCCGAGCTGGCTCCAACCTTCCATTTGCACTCAACCAGACTTCCACTCTCTCAGCAGCTCACTTGACCTTCTTTTCATGATCAACCAACACCTAGCTTCGCCGTCACCCACTCAACACCGACCCCATGCCAAACCAGACGTATTTTCAGGGCCAGAGAGCATACAACCTCCTTTACCGGATGCGCGGAGACCTGATCTTGATGGACCAGCTGATCGATAGCCTTTACCAAGCCCGCCGGCTCCTCCAGTTTGTCACCACCGGACCAGGCCTCCCAGGGCAATATCGCATCGATCCCGCAGCATCACTCTCCAACAGAAACCTAGCCATTCTACACAACACACCGCCAGGCTTCCCACTGCCACGCGGACTTCCCAGCCGTTCACCCTCTCCAGCACCACGTACACCACCGCAAGACGCAGAACGCTTCCACCATTACTGGACAGGCCCTCCACCACGAGCCACTCCGGCCCCCAACATCAGCAATGACACTCGCACCCGAGAACGTTCTCGATCCTGTGACGCCCATAGTGGCTAAATACAGCACTCAGCACCACAGCAACCTTGCAGCCCGTGACCTGCAGCGGCCGATATGCTCCCTCCTTCACCTGAGAAGACTCCTCCGGCCACAGTTGCTGATACATCTATAAGTCTCACCGACATTCCTCGGCGAGCACAGGCGAGAAAAAACCTGGCCAGCTAACCAGTTTTCCACATTTCATGTTCTTCACCGAAGATTTTCTTTACCCAGTCGCACTTGACCATGATTCCGCAGCCATTTGACCGAACTGTTTTTCCATGACCGATCGCCACCTGTGTGACACGATGCTTAGCGCTGATCTACGAACCACACAAACTCACCACTCAGCCACAACTACCACCCCCTCAGACCCACCCACCACACACCACGGGCATTTCTTACCTGACAACCCGATGCCTTACATGGCCCCATCAGTGACACACCAACCGGAGCTACTCCTGCTCAACTGGATGATCAGCACTATCACCACACTCATTGACGACCTTCAGCATCACCCAATTGTGCAGGACCCAATTCCCCCGATGTCCTCTTTCACCAACACACCAGCCTACCGACTCTTTTTGCAACTTCGCAACACCCTGCGTCACTTGATCAACACCACCTACGAAGCCCAACG